AGCCAAGGGTTATCTGAACAACAACAAACTACATTCAGAAATGAGATGCCAGGGTTTTTCCCACCCAGTTTCAGCGGAGTTTGGAAAGTATTTGGCCAATGCCCCCCCCCACCCCACTAGTCACTCAGACTCAGCTACAAGCCAGTTATTAGAAGTAATTCACGCACCCAGGAGTAACATGTGGCTCGCACTAGAAAACTAAGGGCACCCTGGGATGCTTCAAAGGCACACAGCACAATCACACTTTATACCTGCAGTTGCGCTGCCCAACGTAAACACGGAGCCCACAAACAGGGGTCCCTCTCCAGCCCCCCTGCCTGGTCCCTGAGCAGCAGAGGGGTGGGTGCACCACGGTCTCAGGGATCCCTGGCCAGCTCCTGTTGCTTGGACTTGGTTTCTTTCTGCTCATTGTCCCAATGGGGTTTCATTTTACACTTCTGTAGATTTGTTTTATCTTAAATGCTAATGGAAAAGTCAGGGGGAGCAGATCAGAAATGGCACTCTCAGCATTCAATAGCTTCCCAAATGCTGGCTCGGGCTGTATCATTTTGTACAAATCCTTCTGTTGCTTGGGCATCGGGAACACCAGCCCAGGAACGGACCACATCACATTCATCTCTTGTATACATCGTTCCTGTACAACAAGGGTTGCAGAAGCTTGCTTGTCTTCCCTAAATCCAGAGCATGCAGAAGAAAGGGACAAGATTTGGATTAAGCGCAACAACAAAAGTGCTTGTGAACTGCAGGGGCAGGAGAATAAGCAGCTGCTTGCCAGACTCAGCCTCGCAGGGCAGAGGCTCAGCAGCCCCTCTGCTCATGGGGGCTTGGGGCTCTGCCCTCCCCAATCACTCTGCAACCAGCCTACCCCCCCAAAAATAAACAAAACCAAAAACAACAACAAAAAAAAACCACAGAAAAAAAAACCGACAAAAACTAAGAACATCTTATCTAGGAAGCAAACAGAATAGCGGAAATGCTGAAGAGTTATGGGCTATGTCCTGTCCCTGCTCCAATTCCTCAAAACAGCTGAGCAATTTCCCCAAAGCGCTACTTGGCTAGCACAGACCCCGGCATGGAAAACTTCAGCCTCAAAGGGCAAAAGAGGTGAAAGTTCGAGCTTAAGAGACAGGACCGAGCATTTATGCACTCTTCATGTCATCATGAACCCTATTATTGTTATTAATCCCTGGGAGAGGGAAGGAGAGGGCACTAACAGGTGAAGATGATACAAGGCAAAGGAGATTTTAAGGGGGGGAAAAAACAAAAATGAGGAGGGGGGGGCTGTTTAAAGCCCTAACTGCTATAGCTGCTTCTGTGGCATGAGATGTCATCACAGACCCATAGATTTGTGGTTTTCCCACGGCTCTCATTGTCACAGAAGGAGATGCTTAGGTGGCCAGAGAATCTCACCCATTTACTTCTCAATGAAGCCCATAAATGTACCTGACGATCGTGTATGTTGGGGAAAAAACAGCAAATCTTCACCTCTGAAAGCATTTATCAGTGGGGAATCCAACAACTCCCAAAGTATTTTTTTCATTTTATCAAAAAAACATTTTGCTTACTGCTGAAAATATATACCTTACTCTACACCGGGATCAGGCTAGTGGTTGAAATTGCAACAGGAGAGACCCCCAGGAGCATACATAGCTGTACTGTAAGCAAATATTTGGACAGGATATATAAGATACAGGACTCCAAAGCTCCAGTCTTCTCCCAGTGTCTGCAAACCCCAAACACACGCAGGAGGATCTGACGCTGTCACATTACGCATTAGGAGCTGAAATGACTTCTGGTCAGCCCTTTGGGGACGGATAATCAGCAGCTTGTTCCATGCTCCCGATTAAGAGGAGATAATCCATTTCTGTACGGCTTTGGTGTCAGATCAGAGCAATTCTGGCAACGGTTCCAACGGCACACAGCGCTCCGGCAACAGCTGATGCAAACGCTCCAAAAGCCAGGGGCCATCACAGCCTCCATCCAAAGGACGTGCCGCCACTTCAACTGTCCTTTTGCAGCAGCAACTGCTGCAAAGGTCAGGCACATAATGGAGGCAGCATGGGTTTGCCTCTCCTCTCGGACCTGAATGTCAAGGCTAAGAGATTAGCAGCCAGAGAACCCACAACAAAGATTTCCAAAGAGCTGGAGGACACGGTTTGCCGCTTGAGTTGCATCCTGGAGTGGTTTTTCAGAGCATGGGGATGTGTCACCCTGCAAGAGGAATGTTTGTCCCGCTTGCTGGGAGACCAGTTACGTGAATTTGGTCTCTGCAATAACTCATCTTGCCTGCTCAGTCCCTCTACATGCTGTAGCCCAGAGGATTTCTTGTTAAGCAGAGGAAGGTGCACAGCCTGTTCTGTGTCAGTTTTATTCTCATTTGAATGGATTTCACTACTAGTAATGAGGCAGTCCTAAAGAGCTGCAAACACTAAAATGAGAGCATGGGTCCACGCAAAGGAAGAGCTCTGGAAGAGATCGTGCACTCTTCCAATCTCATTCCTAGAGGTCGGGACAAATATATCGGTCTTGATCATCTCTCCTTCCTGTAGTCTGGGCACCTTACATCAAAAAGTGTGGGAAGAATTACGTTGGACAAGGAGAACTCAAATATGCAAGGCAGAACTGACCACAGTTGACCTGATGACCAAGCACCAGGACCAAAGGAACCACCACACCACAAGTAGCCGATCAATCACTCAATAGCAGGTTCTTAAAGACACAAAACTACCACAGCAGTCTATGGCACAGCACTCCAAAATTTTTGCAGAAGAGTCTGAGGACCTCAGAGGGGAGGTTCCTCAACCTGCCCCAGCCAGCAGCAAGAGTGCTGCTGAAGAAGGGGTGCCTTCAGCCTCCAGGTGACTGGGCTGGAGGAAGAGAAGCAGTCATGATTAAAAGACTTCCAAGAGGTAAACGATGGAGGTCGGTAATCAGTTAATCTCTGCTTGCATCCCAGGTAAGATTAAAAAATCCCTAGATCAGCTTTGTCTGCAGTAAATGAAGACTTAGATCTGGTATTAGCAAACGCTCAAAGACAGGGCCCATTAGGCTTTGGGACAAGCAGAGAAGGTTGCTGATTCTCCTTCATTAGTTTCGTACAGGGCAGAGAAACACCCTTCAGGGACAGGCTGGGCACAGTAAATCCAGCTTCCAGGAAGAGGATCTCCTTCCAGATTTGCCTGTCAAGGACTCCCAGGGCTAAGATCAGGGTGAAACCAGCACAGGTCACGCTGCAAGGGGCTGACAGAAGAACCACGCAGTACAAACAAAACAGCTTGTACAGGGTGCTCTGTCAAAGCTCACTCATTTTTAAGCCCTGTGCTCCGACAGGTATCCAGCTCAGCTTAGCTTAATATCCTCCTGCCGTCGCGCGCAGCCCTGCAGCCATCTCCCACCCTACAAACGGGCAGACACACCTAGCAATACATCTGCGCCACGTCAGGGATGCTAATACAATGAACTGTGCGTGCTCTTTGCTTTCAATGCAGCATTTCAAAAAGCCTAGTTGTTCATTTAAGGTGAAGCAGACGCTGTTCCTCTGGTCTCTTTGAAAGGGCTTATCTATGGACTGGATTTCATTAAATGTCTTGTTCTGCATTTAATAAGCTTGCAAGTCTAGACACTTTGGTTCTCTCTCTATCACCCCTTTGGTGTACCAGCAGGTAGAGACAACAGAGGTTAAGAGGGAAATATTTAGCTAGCAGATTTAGATGCTATCAAGATGATTGCGTAATTCCACTTTGACTCGCTGCAATTTCATACCCAGGGACTTTTTCGTTCACCCTCATGCCAATCCCTTTTGAAAGAAAGGGGCTGTTGCCTGCTGTGGTAGGGTAGAGGAGGTCCCTGGGAGGTTCAAGGCACAGACTTTGGGATATTAGCAGAAAATCCATGTTGAATCAATGACTGAACAGGGGAGGAAAAAGGTCCAGAGGAGCTGTGCATTGGAATTGTCCTCTACTACCAGACAGCGATGATGCTGTAACAAGCAGGACAACAATCTCAGCAACCCAGTACACCTGATTCTTCAGATATTTCCACGTGCAACTGGGTGTCACCTCATTCCCCCTGCCAACAAGGAAAACCCAGCCAGGAACCTGATGCTCTGCTCCTCCCTCCCAGGGATGCCCAGGCGCACTGACCGGGAGCACCGAGGTACCTGCAGAGCCCCGTGGGAACTGCCACAACCAAGAGTTCAGCTGGAAAACCCAGAGATGCTGCTCAGGCCTCAGATGGGTGCTAGGCTCAATGCCTGGGCATCAACTTCAGCTGTCTGCAAGAGGCATTCCTGAAAGAAAGGTGCCTGGCTGCAAGGCGGGCAAGGCTGGAAGGGTATGTGCCAGCTACTGCGGGAGGGAGATTCTTCCTGCAGCTCCCATGAGCCAGGTATGCCCTATGGAGACCCAGTCTGGCGGGACATCGCTGCGGATGTGAGGGCAATGCAGAGACCTGCCATTTGCTTATCAGTCAGCAGTTAGCGTCACTCGAGTGATGGGAACTCTGCCGAGACTTTGTTCGTTTTGCTTCTGACCCTGCATCACACTTGAACCCTTAGCCTTCGCACAAAACCAGCTCTGTATTTATCTGCTGCTCCGCTTAGCCCTAAAGGCTAAGTGAGATGGACACAAATCCTGTTCGTTCACAACACGCTGGGAAAGATCAGCATTTTTGTGGATCGGGGCTGCAAGACATGCACGTCACAATTGCACGTGCTGTGGGGATGTATCAACCAAACTAACTGCAATCTTACACTAAGAGCAAAACGGTTTTTCAAAAGATTAATCAGAAAGATCTCTCTCTTTGGGAAACAAGCAGTCATAATCAGCAAATATTTCTCTCACGAGATTGCAAAACAAGGCATGCTCTGCCCTCTGAGCCATGAGTCATGAACTTCCCTAGCAAAGGGGGAGGCAGAGCAGAACAACTGCACGGAGAACAACAGGATGGTGATTTTTTACACTTTATCACAAGGAGAGCAAATTCAAGGTCTCTGCACTTACCATCAAACTTCTTGTATCGGGAACTAAACATGGTCTGTAGGTGATTGCTAAGCTCTACGACAGCATTTCTGAAGTCATGTTTACTCTGCTGACTGTACTTCTCCTCCATTTCTTGAGAGCAGCACGTGTAGCCTTGCGAGCAGACTTTCAAGTGGTCACCTGAAAAGCAGAGAAGAAAATAACCCGAGTTAAAAAGATTCCCCATGCAAGGGCAAAGGGGTCAGCTTCTGAGGCAGGGGGTATGAGGACCCGCAGCACCATCTCCTCCCAAGGAGACCCCCCGCTTCACCGCGAGCACTGGACCAGGCATATCAAAACCTGATTCTGCAGAGGAACTTTATAGCAACACATGTAAATACCACACTTTTAATGTTCTCGCAGAAAGACAAAGTGTCCTCTTATTTATTCAGTTAATAAATGGAATAAACAGATACTCATCTTGCACAGTATAATTTGAAGAACGAGCAAATTGATCTGTATATACTATGACATCTTCCATGAAGGTTCTGCTGAGTATTTTAATTACTTCCAATTCATTCAGTTAATACACAACATAGTATCAAAGGCAATGGTCCTTTTTGTACAAATAAATGCTTTTTTCTTCACACCTCCCCCCCCCAGTTACCACAGGAGAAGTAATCTCTCCCAGAAGCACAGTTATCACTGATATTAAAATACACTTGTTCTATGCAACAGCTTATGAAAAAGCTTTATATTTCTCATCTCCTAATTTTACAGTTTCCCGTCATCATCCTGGGTAAAACTGGGGTTTGTTTTCGGAGAATTCAAACAGCTTTTTCTTCCTTCACTCTGAAAGATAATTCTCTCCTAAGTCATCTGGCTCAAGCTGGCTTCAGGAATCATAATCAGTATCTGATTTCAAAAGAGCTCCATTTCAAAATTTCACAGACAATGTGGGCACAGGATCTGGCCCCATATAATTCACTTTTAGAGTATCTTGCTGCAGTGCAGGATGAAGCTGTCTCCTTCCAGCACCACCAACAAAATGCTGCTGTCAAGTTTTATGGGCCAAGATAAACTCTTCATGTAGCAACACTCAGCTCCAGCTTCTCTGACAGGTCCCACAACGCAGCACCATCACAGGCAGGTGGGCTGATGCTAAAGTGGTTCAAACTTAGACAAATTGTGCAAATCTTTGTCAACGCTGAAGAGATGATCAAAACAAGCAGTTAGGATGAGAAACTCATCCTTCCAAGTCAGATGGTATTTTAAAAGACACAGCCTACATGTAAGCTGCTGCCTTCTCTCTCATTTTACACCTCGCTGCCAAACCTTATCCTTCATCCTGAGGAAGCAGATGGAGAAGCAAAGGCTCTTCCTTAAGTGCTCACACCCTGGAAGCCACCAACAACCTCCAACCTCCGCCAAGGTTCACAGACTCACTGCCAGAGCTGCAAAGGTCTTGTCAGCCCCCCTGCACAGAAAGTAACCTCTTCACAACAGGCGACGAACCAAGCGCTTACTGAAGAGCCATCCTACCTGCTAGAGCATCAAAAGTGGGTTTAGAGAAACAAAAGTAGTTTTTGCATGGTGCAAAACAAAGCCTGCCTATGACTAACACGAGTGGTTGCTTCTCTGCCTGCCTTGTGCAAGACCTCATAGCAACATCATTTGCCCAGCTATCGAACCTTTGCATCACTTTGCATGACTTTCTAGCCCAGAAATGTTAGTATCTCTCCTTTCAGACACTTAAGTACCATTTTGAAATACAATATAAATATTTTTATATCTACCTATATCTAACTAACTATTTAATTCCTAAGAACCTCTCTTCCTAAATCTATTTTCCTTCTGCACTACAGGGTTTGTTTGTTTCCCCTGGCATTACAGAGAGACCTTGACCGATAGATAATTCTGCCACAGCTAATTTATTGCACAAGACCGTCCACTGCTCTTGAATTACGGAAAGTTCAAAGTCTGTTACGGGAAGGCAGCACTGCTTAGGCACAGCATTCAGAAAACACAGAAAAATCTCACTATCTTCTTGCAGATATATTTAGCTTGCTAAGTCATTTAAAAGGGAGGAAGAGGCGCACCCCGGATTTTCAGATCCTGCCCACCAAATCCATCCCGGAGCACGCCTGGGCACTCCTCTATGAGCCTGCGTTACTAGTAAGCATCAAAATATTAGAAGTGCCCAAGAGCCACTGCTTTATTTCACTCTGCATCTCTTTGCTCCAGTTCCAATACAGGACTAAGGTTCTCTGACACAATGGGAAACATAAATAGCAGCAGAGCAATAATTACAGCTAGAGCGACAGCTGGTTTCAAGATGTCAAAATAACTTTATTTCAAAACTCTTATAACAGTTTAGTTGTTTTTTTTTTTTCCCCTGTAAACTTCTTAGGGGGGAGAGTATGTTGGAAATATTTAACCTGAAACGCACTTCACGATTTCAGTACCATTTCCATGACGCATGCCTGCCTTTGGTGGTTACAATTTACGTACTTGCCATTCTTTTGTGTTGGAGGGGTAAGTCTCTGCCCTACTTGGCAAATTCAAATCTATTGATAGTGGGATTTCTTCTCCCAGTTACACTTTGTAGACACTTCCGAAGTTGTCCACAGATGCCCTGGGATCCCCAAAACACTGGTTTAACAACCACTCCAATTAATTTATGATAAAAAAAAGCCCAATGTATTTCATGAATACAAGTAACAGTTTTATATCTATTCATAGTATTAAACTAAAGTTACCACTCCACCTAACGTTACAAAGCAAAAGCATTTTTTTGGATCCACCTTGTCCCAGATTTGCACAGTGCCTCCCTGGGACACATGTGCAAAGCCAAGCAAGGAGAACATTACTGATAGTAAATCAAGCTTGCACAGATCCCATTTGGTTGATCATTAAGAAATTATGCTCCAAAATGCAACTCAGACATTCAAAAATGAATGACCAAGCAATCTAATTATGGAAGATATTTCTCAGTCATGTCAGCACTATGTGGTCTTGGCTTGTGATCAAGAATTAGCTCTGTCTGGAGCGGAGGAGCTCCGGCTACTCAGTGCTAATCATAGAAGGATGCACTGTGTAACCCCAGTGTTAAAAAACAGAAAGTTTAGGGCTGTGGGCTGCTTTTCTTCCAGTTTTCTTATGCCACAGTGGGAAGTACCAATGGAAAGTCACTGGAAGACACTGGGGGCCCTAGTTTTCCCCCAGGGAGGGCTGTCCTTAGCCCCTCTGCATCCCTGAGAACATATCCTCGCTTGAGCAAAGCAACAGGCACTGACACGGTTTGCAAGAAATCTCACATCTAGCCTGTGTTTTAAATCAGCTAGCAGAGCTGATCCGTTCAGCATCCATCCCCAGGACTCATCCCACCTCCGAGTTTGCAGAGAGAGCAACACAACACCCCAGCGTCCCATCGCCTGCTTGGGTGATGGATCCATCCCATGCCCCTTTGATGAGCGGCTGCGGTGTTGGGAACTGCTTACACACCTTCACGGACAGACCCCGGAGCACAGCATAGTCAGACAACAGCTTCAAAACACAACAGTGCTACAACCACAGCATGCAGGGGAACGAAAACAGTGAAGCCTGGAAAGCAATCGCTGCCAGTGGTCCACGTGAGCATGGACCAGTTACGCACACGGAAAACACCGGTCTAGAGCCAAGACCAAAGACAACACCCTTCATCTTTCCAACTGGCAGTGAACTCCTCTAAGGAAAAGGAGTGAAAAATATGAGCATTTAGGCCCACTTAAACACAGAGCTAATGTTTATGTATATTATATAAAGAACACTCATGGTGTGCGCTCACCGTCAAGGACACATTAGGCAATAATTATTTCCCAAGTTAAAACTCATCAAACTATGCCCATACAAGGCAACTCTTCATCTACTGTTGAGCGTTAAAGACTCGGCAGCTTTTGTAATTTATCACCATGTGAGCACTGCAAAAATATAACTCTGCCACAGCCTCCTTTCAAGTTAGGCTTTTTATTGAATTGTTTGGCAGGGTGTGCAATCATCACGTCAAAGGCCGCATGGCAAAAAGAGCTTAAGTAGCAGAGAACGACTCCAAATATCTACTGTATACACACACCATCGCTGCAGCTTGTCATGGATTTGCCCATCTTTCCCATGGTCTGTTGCAGCAAGAGTTTCTCTCTATTTTATATCACATACGGATACAGAGAGAGAAACGAGGGACCTAAATTACGAAAGAAGCTTGCTTCTTGGCTAGTTAACTGCACACCTCTGGGGAACGGAGGTGGTGGTTTAAAGATAGAAATGCAATGGTACATGATGTTACCATCTGTACATCCAAGGAAATGTGCTCAGAAAGGTAATCTTGCAAACTTATCATTTAAGCCATTACAGAAACACCACATTTAGCAGACTCCAGGCACACAGAGTTTCTTCCAAATCAAGTAAGTATTTTGCAATGTGTCGGAAAACAAGTTTTCATCGAACGAGGAAGTGTGCAGCACAAACTCGGGAGCTCCATGATCTTGAAAAGCAGTTCCCTTCACCAAACAGTTTTCTAAGACCTTTTCAAAATGTTGTTTCTGGATGTCTAACATGCCTTCCCAGCTTGCTTCTCCTCACCTGGACCAAATTCATACTTTAAGTACACCTGGCTGCAAAACTAGCTAAACTTTCAGGAGTGGTTCACTGGGAGGCAGGGGGGTTATTTCTTTAAAAGACTCCTGTACACAGTCTAGCCCTTCATTGCAGCTCAGTAAACAAGCCAAAAGCCGTTTATGGTCCAAGATGTTACTGTTGGACTCTGCTCCCATGTGAGAAAACAGGCTGGGATAAGCTGGGCTAGTGGATGAGTGGGAGGTGAACGCTCCTGGGGCAACCGGGGCCACCATTTCGGCATCATCCTCTGCCCCTTCCCTCTAGCACACATGGGCTTGTGTCATCTTTAAAGGAGTTTTATGACTTCCTCTGAAACAACTACCAAAGGAATCCCAGACTGTAATGCCAGGCTCTAATCCGATTTCACACTAGACTTGCCTTCTAATTATCACAGAATATTAGGCTTCCACCCATCATATATAATTGACATGCTACTGAGGCTTTACAAAACCCCCAACAAAGATGACAAGAAACACTAGCATCACCCCTGAGCACAGCTCCGCTGCTCCAGCCCCACATTAACAAAGGGGTGAGAAGAAGAAAGAA